TGACGTGGATATAATGGCGATCACTCGGCGATACGAATTAGACTTTTAGATGGCGGTCGGTCCTAGACCGCCGCCGGCGACGGTTCGGTACGTATTTCACGAGATGACGGCGGACGTCGTGCTAAATCATCCGTCGGTGACCGCATCCGCTTGCCCAATCGAGCGACCGAGAAGCTCCCCTTAACGACCTCTTGTCACGCCTGCGACATTCTTGGCTGAAAAACAGAGATAGACCTGGCATTCTCTCCTTCTCTTTCTTCTTTTACTCTTGCTCCTGCCTCTCCTCCTCTTCACTCTCTCGTCTGGCGCTGATGTTAATATTGTTTTATCAGCAGGATCGCACTCTCACCAGGCTTTGCGCGCGTAGAATTTTTTAACGATTTCTCATAATTCGCTAGGTGTATCGAACGAGATCGGTCCTTGTGGATTGCGGACTTTTTAGATTTAGACCTATACAACACAACTCGCAACAACATTATTGTAACGTTTGCAATGTTATTGCAATATTGTTAAAATGTTGTTGGAACGTTATAGGCTTTAGACTTTTATTTATTGTGTATTACATATTATTTATTATTTATTAAATTATTTGTTAATTATTTATTAATTATTTATTATTGTTAATTTTAGTAATTTTTAATACTCCGTTTTATATTAAAAATATAAATGCATAGTAAATTCTAAGTACGCTTTTTATCAACGAAAGATACTCTATGTAACATTTAAGTATCAAGAATAAAGCATCTTTCTTACATCACTGGCTGCAAACTCGCTCGATGGAATCGATAGCGCGTCAATTAAGCCAGGAATGAGTTTTTTTTCTCGTGTTTGGCTGGTATGCCAAGTAGGATTCTACGTATTCAGCGTATCTCCTTGCAAGAGTTTGCTTTATTACGACAGGAATTTAATTTCTCAAGACGCCACGGTGCAATGTGAGAAAATACAACTTTACGCGCAGCTGTCACTTTTATCGCCGACTTCAATCCGGCGGAAAAGTCATGTCTTCGGATATACACGACTATCATAACTCACTGCAATTACGACATTCATGAAGCGGGCCTTGAACCGATTCACTGCATAGGAAACTCCGATACAGTCACGCCTGTCATTAATTTCTATCAAGGAAACGGCAAGTAATCTCTTTGATTTTATTGTAACGAGGATTTTATTATTTCCGTGGTGAATGTGATGCGCTGTGAACAAGGAACGACCGCTTCCATGGTTAACTAAATTATGTATCTTTCTTACGAGCGCCGCACGCGAAATGAAACGTCCATCAACATTCTCGCTTGATAGTTCAGGTGCTACAAACGAATATACTAATTGGCGGTGTTCGAATTCGCAATTAAATTTAATTTTAAACTTGCATTTATAATTAGATATATCTGATATGTACAAGAAAAATCACTAATTTCCCATTCGCCATTTTGCATTACTTTGCAATTTTTGATCGAAACTTTTACTTGGAAATTATCATGCATAGTGTATCTTAGATCTGTGCTCAAATAAATTGTTAAAGCCGAAGATTTTTTTACATTTTATTTATACTGCCAATTGAAATATCATAATAATAAATATGATCACACCTCCCAGATAAAATACGGACGATAAGAGGGGCTGGGATTCTTATGATAAAATATGCAATGGAGAATCAAAATATCCTTATAATCAGAGGAGCCGAAAACGCTTAATCCATCGGACATAAACTCCCAAACATTATGGTGCCAAACAGCTTAGCGTTGGAAAGGATTTAACATTTCCGCAGAGCATATTTTAAGGAATCTTCACACGAGCGAGGAAATGTGAGATTTTATCCACCCAGCTTTATCGTAAATTTGTTTACCTGAACTACAATATTATATATATGTATATACATATATGTGTGTGTGTATATATATATATATATATATACAAATGGTCGATTGTTAATCCTTGTATTACTTAATTTTTATCGTTTTGAATATCATTCGAATCATCATTGACTCTACAAATAATTCTTACGCCTTTAACTTAAATTTATTTCTCTGCTGCGCCTGTGAAGTGAATTCGACAAAATAAAAGAGAAAACTTGTAAATTCTGTTGCATGTACATTATGACCATATTTCGCGTCTTCATTATTTTTGAGTCGAAATTCCGCTATCTTAGTTATTTCCGTTATAAAGGATTTATTCAATTATGTGTACTAATTCTGCATATAAAACTTGTATGTCACTTTCATAGTTGCTACTATGTTTTTCCTCTGGTAATGAGTACAGTAATGTCAGTAATACGTCACAGCGAACGGAAGCTGCAAGGCATCCTTGGACCGTACGCGCGACATCTTCGAAGAAATCCGAAATCTGATATGATGAAATAAGATCACATGTCTGTGTGACCCTTATCTTTATCCTGCTGTCGCTCCTGATCTACACGCAGCGAAACGCATAAGCGCACATAAGAGCGTAGCAGTGGATACCTGTTTCCGCGCAGAAGCATCCCTGGATCCAAGACAGGCGCGGCTCACGCGACTACCTGGCTCGCAGGTGCAAGCCTGCGGACGCATCCGCAGGCCCGTGCGAGGGCGTGTATATCCCTGACATTGTAAAACTCGGCGTTACACTTGCGTAGCCGATTGGATAGGCTGGCTCCCTCCAGGACAGCCCAGATTCTTTGACGGCATCTTCCTCTCTCCTCTCCGATCATCTTATCTCCGTGATCCTCTCTCTTTCTCTCTCTCTCTCTCTCTATTTCTCACTTTCTTTCTAGTTTTCTTTTGAGTTTCTTAATTTTGAGTAGCTTCGAGTTTTTCTTGATATCATCGAACTACAATATCAAAAAAATCCGTATTCTTCGACCTGCATCACGTGTTTCTTCCGGCCGCATTTAGAGATCCTATAACAATCTGGCTACGAGAAATTTTGTTAAAATTATGTGAAAGAGAATGATATATTGTATATATATATATATATAATTTCAGAAAAATTGAGTAAAAAAGTTATTGTAAATTTTAAAATTAATTTTTAAAATTACTTGTAAATTTTTATTCTCTAAGATATAAAAATTTAAATATGGACAACTACGGACTACGTTTAGATAGTCATCTGTGAGTATAAGTGAGTATAAATGAGCGCTCAGCAACGATCCATGGACAAGTGACTATTTAAACATAACCTATAATTGGCCATATTTAAACTTTTATTTTAGACAAGCTATGTACCATTATATTTTCATAATTTGTTTCGTTTTCTGGGGGGCGTACGTTGTAACAGCAGTTTTACTGGTGCCTCACCATTTGTAAACTTATTAAACTTGGCATACTATGACTGTAATTCTTTAAAAACACAATAAATTAAATTAAATTAAAATTAAATTTTCTAACTTATACTATTTTACTCAATAAATTAATTAAAGTTATAAGAGAGTATCCTCTTTCGTAAGGTTATAGGCGTATTCTCTCTCGATAAAATCGCTCGTGGTCAGACTCAGTTATAGGATCTCTAGCCGCGTCGAGATCCATCAACGGATGTCTCAGACGATGAAGAATATTATCAGAGATATATACGGAAAAATGGCGCTACATTCGGAAATTTGCTACAGATTTTGATAATGTCGATGAACGCGTTAGATTTCTGCAAAGATGCATGCCGGTCTTCGTCCGGTGTGGCTTTCCCTTTTTCTCGGTCCTTTGCAGAACTCGTGTTACGATCAAGATACATTAAATCATTATAAATTACGCTGTATATTAATAGCTATATAATTCTAAATATCTCCGTATATTGAAATAAGGAAATTATCCTGCTGCTATCGGATTCCTTATCAGAAAGTATACATGAAGCTTTTTTTCTGTAAAAAATGATAAGTTAACTTTCTCGAAGTTTATTACATAGGATACGGTAATAATTTACATTAATAACATGCATTAGATTTAAAGTTCGTCAAGTGGTCAAGCAGATTGACGCACATGTGTGTACCGTCGCGATCGCGAGCCGGCCGTTGATTAAAAGTACCGCCACGTGTTTATCGCATTTACGAGCTCGCCTGGCTCTCGGTTTCCGCTAATTCAAGTTGCTCTCGAACGCGGGGAGCGGAATGTTCGTTTCCATCTAATTATAAAGCAGCCGTATTGCACTCGTATCTCACTTGCGGTTAAAGGATGGGGAATTCCGCGCACGGCGGGCGAGGCACGCGGCAAACGTGTACAGAACCTAGAGATCCGGCCTCAATACGTCTTGTTGACTCACTTAGCGCAACACGGCAAGTTCACTAACCGTATAGATCGTCACCTCCTGGCAGGAACTATTTAAAGTGCGGTGCGCGCGCTGCGCTCCGCAATTCTCCTCTCCTCTCTCTTTTTCTCTCCGCTCTGCTCTGCATCGCCGGCGGCAGCGGGCTGATATAAGATGCAACAGCTGCGATCGGATCGTACGGCGTGCGAACCGACCGATGGTCCCTGTACCGAGCACACGCGCGACCATTGTGCTGTCTTATTACGGGTTGAATCTAACGAAAGCACGAAGGGGCGTTCTCTCGCCACCGCAAAATCATTATTCCTGACACGCTGCGACCGATAGGTATTTCAAAAATCGCGCAAATCTTCGGCGACACGTTTCCAGGACGTGTGGTGCGCACTTGGTGGACCCATTAACAAACAAAATTATCGTTAAAGTATATATAGGGATAGTTATTTTATGAAGAAATTATGACTCTAGGAGAACAAATAAACATAAAAAGCATAGAGATAGTAAATGATAGAAATGTATAAAAAATGCTGACAATATGAGATGAGATTTTTGAATGAGATCGCGTTTTTCTCGTGACTTTTTTTAATTTATACAAGTTTCCTTAACTGCAGACGTGTAATTTTAGACGTTTTTTTTTATCTATAATGTCATATATATAAATTTTTAATAAATAATGAGAACTTACATATTTGAAAAATATGTCCGATGTATGACATGAAGCTGTCGTGTAACTCGGGAAATACAGTATCTTCTACAGTAATGCATGTTATGTATTGTAGACATGCCCTTCGACAGCACATGCTGCGACACGCTGGTAAGAAGTACAAGTGTGGCCTTCCGGGTTGTCCAACGATTCTTCGTACTGCAACCGAGCTCAAGACCCATCGAAGGTTGGTCCATGACAACATTGAGAAGCAGTATTCATGCCCTGATTGCTCTTACGCGGCTAAAACGAAAACCCAATTGCGCAGGTAAGCGAGATACTGAATTTAAATTTATTGTTTACACTTTAGTTTATCTGAGTTCTATTGGATAGATTATATTGTTAGATTTAAAAGGCTGAAATAAATGAGCAAACCCGAGCAAATTTTTTGTAATTTACTTAATTTATTTATGTCATTTTGTTGCATGTTACGTGTTTTTCACGACATCATGTTTTATACGAGAACTTTTTTTTATTGTTTCAATAATTGTATTTGATTATTTAAATATTTTTGTCGGCTGGGAAGGCTTTGTTAAGCTGAAACGTTCCGCGCTTGTTTAATTTTATTAAATATACATATGTTTTATTAATTTGACGTCTGTTTTTGCTCGTTTATTTGGCCTTTTTTAACTTTCCATTTGTATTTTAATATCAGCCATTTTTTAAATTATACTGTGTTATTAAACGTTTTAAATGCGTATAAAAAGATACAGGTTTTTCCAAGGTAAGAAACGGATGATGCTATAAATTATAAATGGCCAAATATGCATTGAGAAAAAAAGTTTTGTGACTATAATTGCATAATAAAATAATTAGGAACATCAATTTTACAGTTATCACTGCTATGAGTCAGTAATAATAATAATATTTATAGTTCTATATACAAAAAAATATACAGTTGGGGTAAAAAATGATTACTATAATCGTGCCAACTATATATTTTTTGGTATGTAGAACTACAAATATAATTATTATTTATACTAACATTATAATAACTATGAAAATGGAGTTCCTAATCATAATTATTTTTCTATGTAATTATTATTATATAGATATCAAACATTTTTCTTTCAGTGTGTGGAAATTATGAGCATTAACGTGGTAGAGATATTCGATGTGCGCGTATGTATAATAACATTTTCATCGCCACGTGTCAAACGCAACGTCAATGGCTATAACAATTATTACGTCTAAATGTTACGGGCGTCCGATGTACTTGAATTCGTTAGCGATCTCAACTGAAATGGAGTAAGGTGAAGCAGCCTTCAGGATGCAAGGGTCTTTTTAACAATTCAGTCCGCGTACGATCCACATGGCTTCGTCTCGTACAGAGGGCTGGCAGCACGACTTCTCGGACTGCCGATATTATTGACATTAATTTTAATCGAGGTCCCCGTCGAGAACGACGCATTCCTGTGCCATTAATCGCGCGGCTCACGGCTCGCGTATGTATGATCGATGCCTTCGAGGAAGCGGAGAATTAATTGCGAGGACGCAAGTACTCGCGTCGCGCGCCGCCTCGCATAATAATTGCGAGGACGCGGACAGTGGAAAGAATCAATCTTCGCGGATTATTGATAGAGACAATGGGGAGGATATAATTTGAAGAGTAATTTATCGAAAATCCGATTACATCTCTGTGCGCGCGGCGCATGGCCTCGATACGACGGCAATTTTCGTACCGCCTTTTATCTCTACCTCCTAGATTTATTCTCCAGTTATTTTAAGGCACGGACGACGGGATCTGTATCTGAATTAATTCGCGACTCGATGATTCATTCAGACACCAAGTATTTTCATCCTATTCATTTTTACTATCTATCTATGCCGCATACGTACCGCGTACACACATAGAGACATTTTTAAAGACGTAAAATGCAGAGTAATTAAACAGAATAATTAAAATGAATATAAATGTCTCATAATTATAGCATCTTTATATTTAGCTTTCGTCACTCTAATCTTATCGAATCAAATTGATGCAAACGACATAGCACTTGATTGTTAATACAAAAAACAAATTTATGATTCATTCATTTTTTTGTTACTGCGTTAGCTTTTTGTTGAAAATATAAAAAAGACATTTTTTTTATTTTACATAAATTACGATGATTATGTGATGTGTTAATATTGGGATGGTCAATAATTTTCCTCTATTTTTTGGAAGGGGTGCCGCAGTTAAACATTTTTTAAAAGATGATGTTTTAAAGCGCGTTTAAAAAAACGATCGTGTCGCTCTTCTAGTAATGGTACGGAATCGAGAGAGAGAGAGAGAGAGAGAGAGAGAGAGGTGTGCGTATTTAAATTAAGCCTTATTAAGGCTATTGTGGCGCGGGAAGCGCTCCTAATAAATTTCTCCTCGTTTGACATTGCGTTTTTTTTCTTCACCCCACGAGAGACGGCTCTCAAGGAAATACGAATGTTGCGGATAGGGGAGAGGAAATCGAGAGAACGAACGAGAGGAGAAATAGCGCAGTGGCGAGAGAAAGATCGAGGTGGAGGACCGCGAAAGCGGAAGTTGCGTGCGGCAGCCGGTTAAGTGCGGGCAACCCGTTATGATCGTCCGCGCATGGCCGATGGTCACCGCGATATTTCATCTCGAATTGAGTACTTACTACGTGAGTCGAACTCAACGCAGCCGCAGAGTGTGTCGCGCGGACTCTCCTCCACCGACGCTCCTCTTCCGCGTATATTCTACGTCCACTCATATCGGTTCCCCCCTTTGTTCGTTTTCTCTCTCTCTCTCCCCCCCTCCCTCCCTCTCTCTTTCTCTCTCCCTCTCTCTTTCCGTCTCTCTTTCACCTTTCTCACCCCGTTCCTCCCTGTCGCCCATGAGCCCAACAGAGTAAATCACGCGGGATTTTAATTAAACGTGTCACGCATCTCGAACCTGATATACACGTAGCCGCGGCCAACGGCTCCCTCGTAATATCGCGCACGCATATCGCATCGTTCATAATCACCGGGCCGCGACTGCGACGATGAACTTCGCGAAGCACAGAAGAGGAGGAGGAGATGAAGGAGAGAACGATGTAGAGGACACACACTTCTGATACGATCTCTGCCCCTCTTTTACAACGAAAAAATATATATAATATTTCTGCATGCTGTCGCGCCCTGGATACATAAGATATCTTCGTTCCAGATGTCAGAGGAGAGAGAGTGAGGGGATGCGCGAGACTTGCAAAGCGTTGTGAAAGACTTAATAATTATAAAAGACATAATAAATAAATTAACACGATCCTGTTATTTTCGATACGTTTAATGTTCATTTCTATCAATGTATATGTAGATTAACTTAATCTCGGTTTAATTTATCCTTTTTCTATTGCTCAGAAAAAAACAAAAATAAACTAAAGCAAAATTGAAGTTAATCTACATTGATAGAAATGGACATAAATAAAGTATTTCATCTCAGTTTTCTACAATCCTCCTGTGCTAGAATTGAACTCGAATGTGTCATGCAAGAACTTTAATTATTGACATTCCGTTACTTTCTTTAATCATGCTACGAAACTCTCTTGCATGCTTGAGAGAATCGATATCGCGCTACAGGGGATATACATAGAGCATAAATCACTATTATGCGCTCAATTAGTCGTTAGTTACAATCGTTGATTTTAAAGTATGGCTGACAGATTTGCCGTTATAAATCGGCTGATCGCATGCGATGTTGATAATATTTCCGCTACTGGAAATATTGCAGAAGGTATTACTTCTGCCTCCTTGTTGCACGCTGTCTTCTTGATGACAAACTCGTACTTACTCCTCTTCGCGGCTATCGCGGTAACTACTTTATGTATGACACCGGTATGATGTCCCAGCAGATATATTTCCGAGATTAGATACTTGGTATCGACCTCACTTCGGCGTAGAAAGTTTATCTGGCGTTAATAGCTGCGTTGACCGGTATTAGCACTCGGGCGTTAATCAGACTTTCATAAAACGCTTCGATTGGCCCCAATAAATTTTGCCTCCGCACAATTCCAATGGGAATTTTCATTTAATGGCAATAATCGTGCATATCGGATACGTAAATCCGTATCATTATGCTTTAATTGCGTGCGTCACTGATTCAACATCGAGAGGATCTAATTAACGGAAGGAAAACGTATAACGATCGCTTCCATGAGAATCGTGTTCATCAGAAGATTTTACGATCGCCGATTATTGCTGACATTGCTCCGTTTTTAAATGATTGTATTCATTCTCCATAGGCACAGAATACGGCACGAAGATTCCGCGAACACCGAGAAGGTTCAAATCCATTCCTGCACTTATAAAGGCTGCAATTTTAAGACGAAACTCGGTTCGAATCTGCGGAGACACGTGCGACTGCATACAGGTGTCAAACCATACAAGTGTCGACATTGTTCCTACGCCAGTAATACTTTGGTAAGTTATTATTATCGCCGAATAAAACTATTTTTTATATAATAAAAAATTATAAAGGACCCTTGAAATTTAAATAATAAAGAACAGATTAAAGGTGACTGAAAGAATAATATACGATTTTTTGATAAATATAGCTATGAAGTAAATATATTTTTTACTAGAAATTTTTTGCACATTAATTACCTAGTCATTACTCTCAGCTTAATCTGTTATTTATTTTTTATATTATTGATGTAAGTTAAGTTTAAACTATTGAGCGAACAGAGAAGTACAAGCTTTATCTTATTTAGATTTATCTTAGTTTCTGTATCTTAAGACCAGATTTTTTAATGGCGTTATTTTTTAAAGATGAAGGTCATGAAACATTCGCATATTATGTACAACTAAAACCAGTAGCACCGCGTGTTATTTGTGCATTATGTGCGTGCATTTGTGTTCGAAAGACCTACCGCACGCACACGCACACGCGTTCTCGCAACACGATCGTCATCGGGATTCAAAGTCTTCGCTCGCCTTCATGTCGCGGTGGCGGCTCTCTCCCCGGTTGACTCGCACCCCGCGATTCCGACGCGGTCCAATTTTTGTCCTGCCGGTGCCGGGCTCCGTGGCGTAAATTAAGCAGAGTACAACCTTAACGTTTGGACTGCGCCGCCGCCTCTGCCGTCGCGCCGGCGAGGCGCGATAAGATAACGAGTTAATTGTGCCCACTGGATGCCCACACGCACGCACGGCCCAGTCATACCGCGCGGCCGGTATGCTAATGCCCTTTGATGCTTGAGTCGGGATGCGACTCGCATACGAGGTCTCCGTGTCTCTTTGATATAGCGACATAAACTCATTCCAGTGGTTCTCATTCGCGTTTGCCAACGCATCGATCGGTTATTCGTCCTCGGTCTGAAAAATGACTGAGTCTTACATGTTGATACATTTCTAATTTGTAAGTAGAAATCGAAGAATTAAAAATAATTCCTGCTTCGATGTTAACCAATAATTCTTTTTAGAAAGATTATTAAATTAATTCTCATTAAAAAAACCTCTTTTTTTCCAATACACAACACAACTTTGCATTTTTTATAAATAGCGTTATTATATTTTATAGTTTTAATTATTAAATTTTTAATTTTTCAGAAAAAAAATATTGATTTGAGATTAAGAAACTGATTGTTTCAAATATAAGCCAACGTATGATGTTTTTTAATTTTTCTTATTTTTTTTAAATTATTAAAACTTTTTAATTTATCTTATTCTTGATATTAAAAATAGAACGTTTAACGTCATTTTTTTAGCTTCTAGGCTAAGATTATAAACAGTTATTTTTTCGCAAAGCTATTTTGTTTATATTAGAATTCATTGTTAATAAATTACTATAATCAATATATTTATTATCCATAAATAAGCCTTTTTATAAAAATTTTTCTTGTACGAGTAGTTTTACATTCACTGTATATTGGATTAATTTCATGAGGCACTATATCTACGGGATGCAGTCGTCGTCTAATTAGCCACTTCAAAGCATCGTTAAATGGCCGACGACGTTCGCGCGACCAATGACAAAAGAACGTAATCCGTTGAAAATGATGTATCCCGATTGCGAGTAGTATCGAGCTTGACGATAGCTGTTTGCACGGTACTTTAATAAGGTAGGGACGCGTGCGAATAGCGCACTTAACGAGGAAACTCTCCCACATAGAGGATCGCGAAACTCACCTTGCATCTATGAGATTACACGTTTTCTTTTCTCTTCCTTCTCACTTCCCTCGGCGCTATGATTTACCTTGGTTAGCCTCTTTTTGTCGACCAACGCTTCTGCTCTCGCTTCGAAACCATCCCCCTAACCCTCGCCATCGACTCGCTACCGGCGGCACTTGGAAAACTTTCGTCGAGGGTGGTAAGTTTCCTCAAGCCGATACCAGTTAACATCGAATCCGACACTTACATTCTGCTTTTCACATCGGTCGCCGAGAGTTGTTGAAAAGTCGCATGTTTTATTTCATCACGATGGACTATGATCTGCAGTATATGAATATTAAAATAATAAATCGAATATCTCACGACAAGAATTAAAAATAATTTTATTATTTATGAGTTAATGATGAAGATTTGAAAGAAGGTAAAGATTTCGAATTATAAACGATGTAATTATGTTTATTTATGACATATGTATTTATATTAATTTTTGTTTCGCTGAACTAACTCATTAGATATTCCTGTTTTAATCGTTTACGTGGTAAATACAACGTATTTTTTTTGTAAGTTCAATTAATCTAATTTATTTGAATCTGCTTGAATATAGATACAATTTGTCACATGTAAGCTCTAATAAAATGAGATCTTTTTACGATTCGATATCTTGCGTCACCACGCGTGTGTTTTTCCTGCTTGCCTTTTCAAAGTGTACAGAGGAGACCGGGGCTAGTAGATTGTAGGGGTAAGTACACTAACCGAGTCTACGTTAAAAACAAAACACTCGAGACACGCGTAAAACGTGTCTAAACATGCAGCAGAGACTGCCGCATGTTCACTCAATCTCCTTGGGCTGCGTTCGAAAACACTATCCGAGTACCTTCGAGTATCATTTTATCCTTGCTTAACATTCGGTAAACAACAAGGACAAAATGATACTCAGAAGTACGAACGTAGCCCGTGGTATCTTGATGTAGACGTATCTCTATCAAAAGTTGTGACACATTTTCAAAAAATCATATACATAAATAAATATTTTTATACTTAAACTTTTTGTTTTGGAATTATAATTGGCCGTGTTTCTTTTTATCTTATAGAAAAGAACTAATATCGGCGATAGTGTAAAAAATGCGAAAAGTTTGAAGTATTCGTATGACTTGCATGAGGTGCAGATGTATCAAGTACTGCAAAAAGTTTTAGAGAGATACAGAAGATTAACTTTCTCGTTACACAATTTATTTTGAGTAGAATTAGAGAAACTTGTTTATTGTTTATCACTCGATAAATTCTGGCTTTAATACGTGGTGGTAGAAATGTTAGAACTTCAGATATTCAACTTCAGGCTCTTCGCCAAGTGTAATATATTAAAGAACAGAATACATTTCTTCTAATATCCTCTTACTTCTAACATCTTTCTCTAACATCTTCTTGCTGCTTCTGTGAGTACCCGAAAATTATTAGGCTCGTAAAATCACCATCCACTCTCGACGACGATCGTAAATACACACCGTACGTCTTTCCGTTTCAGACGGTCTATGATAGTGCAGTTTCTTGATACATAGAGGAGGAAGAGAAATTAAATTTGTGGCAATTCGAATCAATCGGCCCAACGAAATCGGCCTCATGCTAGATTTGCGTGACAACGCGCGTCCGCTTCGCCGATCCGCGCGACCGCCCACGGCGGTGTGAACGAGGCTTAATCTACACGCCCGTCACGGAGCGGTGCCCGCGGAAAGATTTACTTATGGGAAATTAAATTTGATGTTGCCGCGCGTTGCCATCAGCGGCTCGTATAAGCCCGCCTGGTAGGAAGATGTTTACGACTACGGCCGGCTACTTAGCCCGGAGAGGGTAAAGCGCCTTTAAACGCGCCAACGGCGTAACCAATGAAACGTGTGCGTCCGGTTTTGCAGCGAGCCGATTCCTCGCACACCAGTAAGGAGTATATCCACAGTGTGTATCCAGATGCATCCAACAAATGCGAACTCGATTCGAGACTCGACTTGGCGTGAGGCCCGCTCGATCGTGGTAAAAGATCCTTTTGCATGTACGTGCGCGCGCGTGCGTAAACTTCGAGCTTGAATCAGCTCGAATGAAATTTTAATAGCGACGCCCGAACGGCAGGTAGACTTGTTCGGTCGAGCTCGATGAGAATCAGAGAGCTGCGTAAACGATCGAACAACGTGCTCGTAAAACGTGCTCGATTCGTCTAATAAAAGCCGTTAGACTATGGGAATATCGATTATTGATTGGTTATTATTAATTATGCGACCGCTAAAAACTAAAAACAGTGAGATTTTTACCGATTATCAGCAGTCTCCGTTACGGGACATCTAGCCTACTTAATTCCCAAGTAGCACACAGCGATTACAAAGCGTTAAGAAAGTGCTAAAAAAGCGCATATAAGCGCTTATTTTTATCACTTTGCAAGTGCTGCTGTGCTACTTGGATTGATCTAATTAATTGTTTTTGATTTTTTAATTTTAAAAAGATCTGATTAATAGTTTTTGTTTAGATTATGGATAATTTTTATGTTCATAGGAAAATCTTCGGAAGCACATACTATCGACGAATCTACATCCGGGTAAAACAATCTACGAATGCGAATTTTGCAAAAAGGAAAAAGAAAAAAAGACGGTTCCATTCTGTACGAATTTTGCCAAAGAACTTCGTGCTCACCTGCTGGAAGCTCACATTGAAGACTTTCCTACACCAAATGATGCGAACAACTATACAAATAACATTTTTAAACCAAATTAATAAAGAAAAAAGCAAGGAAGAGACGTTTATTTACTTTTTGTGGCTTTATTAAATCAGCGATTTATATATAATGTACTGAATTAACATTAACATTACATATCTAATTGTAAACTTTCTTTGTGATTATAAATATACTTTCCTTATTAACTAGAATTCTTTCTTTGCCTGTAAGGAATGTATGAATCCTGATGGTCCTGGGATATTCTTCTAATTTTTGTTATGATTTGAAATAATTTTATGATATGAAATAATTTCACAGTTTTTGTTCTAAACCAGTGACGTGCAACTTTATTTAAGGATTATTTTCAGGGGATCATTTTTAGGTAAGTCTTTCGGGTTACATATATTTTACTTGTAATAAATAGAAAATGTAATTATATTATATCTTTGATTATGAATCGACGAACCGGAAAAAGTTCACAGATAGGCCGCAAGTTGCGCATCACTGTAAGTTAATTATATCAAGCTGTACTTATGCTATATATATAAGTTCAAGTTGCAATTTTTTATATAATTGAAAATTGTAAAACTTTTTCTAAAATTAATAATAAAAAAACTAGTAGGTTTGAAGAATCTATATGCCTTTAGGGTCACCAAAAATATATGTTTCTGTTAAAAAATCTTTGTTATAAGCATAAAAGACGAAGATCGCAATACTCCGTAAAAATTCCTTAACTTCATTGCGATACCATACAAATAATACGTATGACTCTGACTCTCTTTTAACGTTGATGATTATTAGGAGGTAACTCGAGAGATATACTATATGTCAATATATCTAGGTTTCTTCTAACTAGACATCGACGCATTGTATAGTTTGCGTCTTGGTTTTCTAATACGTCGGGATTTCTCGGAAAAGATGAGCACCGTCCTTCGCGGCCGCGTGAGCCGGCAGAATTGTACCAAGCCAGGAAGTAGTTAAAGTGATGTACGATCATGTGGCACGGTATGTAACTCGGACACGTATAGGATCGGATCTTTATGCTCGGCACACGACATTATGTTGCGCGGGACATTACGAGAGGATCCCGTCCACCTGCGTGGTGCAGCACGCGCGTGCTTCTATTGGGGTGTGAATGCGCATTTACAACGGTCAGCACAAGAATTTGAAGATAGTTGCACGATCCAACTTGTATGTTTTACGCAAGTATCGGCCAATTGTTGTATCGTTTATGGAAAATTTTTAGCAATGTATCACCCAAAAAAAAATATTCTGCCGATAAGCGGGGAATTCCTCTTAGCATTTCCTCTAAGCAAAAAATCTTACGTTAATCTTACATTAATCAGGTGCGTGTATTTATGACACGTATTTATCTATAAAAATGAGGACACATGAGCTACGATCAAAAATAGATTTCTCTATAGAAAATTCTCTTATAATAACTGGAATAATCTTTTGAAATAAAAGGATATACAAAATACTAGCGGCACGTTTATTTGTTAGAAGAAGTTTGTCATTTACCATAGTACGCGTGCATGTCAGTACATGCAAAACATTCTTCTAGTATTGAGAGGATTGCAATCTTAAATCCAGTACATTATGGTTATACGAAATTCCTTTACTTTGTAGAGTATCCTCTTGAGGTCATATATAAATGGAAAATCCTCTGACATTAACACGGAACCGCTAAATGGCAGAATATTTTTTTTGGGTGATGTAACCGTGTACATTAAGAAGTGAGTAAGAATTTTGCTGAAAAATCTAAAACTTTGCTGAATCTGAAAATAATTTTGTTGGACGTTCAGAATCATTTTATTGGAAACTCAAAAATGAGTAATGCTGCCAAAAATTTTGATATTTTTATAGCAACCAGTCTTATAACTATACAATTGTAATTATTTTCCACATAAACGTCACAACAGTTGGTCGAATTTGTTTATTTATTGCGTGCTCTTGCCCTTGCTGATTCTTTAAACTAAAAAAAATGACGTGCTCGGTTGTCGCGATTGTGGAGACTTATAACGATATAAATGTGAATACATCAGTTTGCATTCCGTATTTTCTTGCGACTGACTAGTTACCTCGATGTTTTCGTCGAAACAGGTTCGCGTAAGTTCATTTCGAAGATCTATTTTCGTCGTGATCGACCGTCATCTCGCTATCAAGAGGTCGCATTCCCGGCCCGAAGACGCCAACGAGTCCCTCGAGAAATGATGGCAATCCGAGAGACGCAGTGGACCACCTCGTAGATCGTCTTACAAGACGTGCGTTTTTCGTCTTTCGGGGACCGTTGATTGTGAGAAATGCATCGCGCTGTCGCGTGAGATAGGTGTCGTAAAGTATGCGACCCTCTCGAGCGATCCCGGAGACGAGAGGAGACTGGTGGCGCGGTGGTGAACGAGCGGGAGGACCGACCACGAGCATCGTAAGCGCGAAGGATAATTTATTGACTAATTAACGAGGATGTCCTTCATTACGGGTCGGTCGGCAGTCGTGGTCGCTTGCTCTCGCTCGGAACCGGCATTATTTGGCGCCCGAATATTTACGACCGCGTCCTCCTTCTAGACCGGCCCGATACCGCCCGCGAGCGAGCGAGAGAGACGCGCAGAAGCGCGCGGACCCATAACGATGCGTCCTGATCTTACGGCGATTCGGGGATCTGGAATTTCCTCCGTAACACCCGCCTAAGAGGATCCAATGGTAGGTATATCGACACGATCCTGAGACTCGCGGGCGTTACTTGGCGGACAAAGGGTCATGATTAAATCCTAAAGAGGCTGCTCTCGCGCTGCCGGTTCCTTCGCTGCCAAAAGGAGATTGTTAAGGTTGTCCGGTTTAATGAAAGCCAAAGGCTGAGCACGTCCTATTTCTAGAAAGATTTATGCGTCAATTGAAGAGAAAAACCAGCATTTCATTCTTTATATAAGAATCTTTTTTATAAATTCGCTGTCAGTGCGAAAGTCGAAAAAATAGTCTAACGGATATACGTTTAATGAATAATAATATGTGATAAAATAAATGATATAATAAACAATATAATCATATAATAAATATATCAAATAAATTGCACTTTTTCGTCACAAGCTAAATAAACTTTTTAGCAATCGGAAACAATGATTTACATGTCAGATTCATACCATAAATAATATATTAATGATATATTAAGGTTTTAAAAAGAAATGAAATCATTTTTTAGAAATTACTAAAAAGCTATTTAATATCATAAAATTATTTCAAAAAATCTTTAAATCTCTTTTTCTAGATTTCTTTGAAAGACAAAAATACATCTTTCTAAAAAAAGCTAATCTGTTTAAAATTAATAATAATTAAGAAGTACAAACTCAAGTACAAGATTACATAATAGAAAGAAATTTTGAAAGATGTGTCATCGTGATTAACTCAAAGAAAGAAGGCAATTTGCGGATTGCTCGTCCTTCGAGTGTCTTTACTAGAGTGGAACTACGTCACAGGGAGTGGAGAAACCGATATGTAGAAAGAAGAAGTTAACGTGAAATTAACGCGGGCTGCGAAGTGCTAAGAAGTCGTGCGACAGGACGGTTAGGTATACTGCTTAATGAAGATATAACGTGCCGGCTCCCCGTGGGGTTGGTAGAACGTCGCTGGCACTGGGATGCTCCTCGTTTTCATTTCCCGACGTGTCCTCGTCGCGTTACTGCAGCCCCTTCGCAGCCTCAGGTTACGCCGGGACATGCTCATCCTCTTTACGATCCACGCCAGCGTCGCGGCTCGCGAAATTTCGCGGACTTTATTCCCTCAATTACACTTGGAAAGTTATATCGATGGGATAGGAGCGGTGCATTCACAATAGCACTCATCCGTGCACTCGCGCGCGCGATAGTTAAGCTCGTCCTTGTTCCTGCTGTGATCATAAAAATTCATTCTTTTTTCTTTTGTTGTTAAATTTTTTATATATAAAGTTAAATAATATTACATTTTATTCGTGACGTGTATTATTAATCTTAACAAAACGTTTGGTTTAAGAACTAAAAAAAAACACAATAATATAAAGAGAGAGAGTCAAAGTAGTAAGTTGAGATTAAAAAAACAAAAATGTTATGCCGTGAAATTAAATATAAAATAGTTAATGTAATTATTATGCAAGATGGACTCATGCTAGTTTTAATATGAAAATAATTAATGTTATAATAAAAGAACGTTAATGAATCATCAATGCAAATTAAAGGATGATAATAAATATGCTTTACTTGGAAAAAGACTGCCTAACGCAAAAGACCGATCCAATCTGCATGGACAAATTAAACGATTCGCTTCCACTACGATCTCGTCAAGCGTTCGAGATACATAGATACGCGCGTGGAAGTTGCTTATATCATGGGTACAACGAGCGCGTTATTTCAATAACGAGCGCACTTCCTACATGAACACCTGTGTCACACACCTCGACACGTCCCTTATACCTTATCTAGAAAAACCGCTATAAATTACAAGCGCGAGTTCGATTCCGTAGGTAGCGCAGTTAATCACCGGGTGATTGATCGCGCCACGGTTTTATCCAGATGAATCCACGCAATACCTTCTACCGCGGTGGCGGCGAAGCCCTCGCACATGGTGCGATTCTTCCGCGATCTTCCGCGCATCTTTTTTATTTTCTTCGATCCTCCCACTCTTGTCGCCTGTTTTCTCCGCAAGACACGGGAAGGCGAATACAAAGTGTGAACCCTTATCGAGACTCGTTGACCCCCTTCCCGGTCTCTCTTCTCCGCGAGAATTCCGCTGGAGAATTCCGTGGTCGCGGGTCCAGAACGATATATCTTGCGATCCCGCGGATGCGGCCTCGCGTGTCTACACGCGTGTGAGACCGATGTCACTTCGCGAGACAGCGGGTGTCGGCCCGCGCCGAAATGCCGTCTTAATTATCAGCATGCTGTTATTTATATCGCGACGCTCGACCGATGACGCCGCCGGTCCTAAGACCAGAGCATCCGATACACGCGCGACATCCTCGCGGGCGCACTCGCCCGCGGTGCGGGACCGGACTCACCCACACCAATCAGCCGGCCGCGATGATGTACGCACCAGTTTTCGAA